TTAATTCTTGAAATATTTCGCCTTAAGAGAGAAACAAACAAAAAAAAATGAAGACGTTTCTAGCGCGTGCACACGAACGATTTATGTGAGAAATGTGTTTTACATTGAGTATGATGGGTGTGTAATTAAAAAAAAGAATTTCATTGATTGATTGCGTATGAAAGGTGGCATTTCTAATCCTTTCGACTTCTCATTGTTTTGATTAATCATTCTAGAGACTCTAATTGAAGTAAAACTATTATACAGGGTGTTTATAAAAATTGCTGCAGAACTAATGGTTTTTAGACCCATGTTTATTAAGACTTTTTTGTTTGTGTTGATGAGTACTACACACTCCTGAAGTTTGGCAACAACTTTTATGAATACCTTTTGTATAAAGGTTTTTGTGCACTTTTATAAAATGAAACAGAAAAAAGGAGTGAAATTCTTTAATCGTTAAAAAGAAAAGATAGCTTTACAAGTTCAGAGTTGAATATTTATTTTCCAAAGACATCTTGAACGGAAAAGGAAATATATCATTCACATGTTTTTGATTACTGCAGCATTAACTTGTATGCTGCATTGAAATTTAATCTAGGTGAACTATTTCAGACTAACAATTATGAGTACACATTATTAAAAGAAAAAGAAATGGAATAAAAGAATTCTTATGAAAGATACATTTGTGCTGTTGTACCTTCTGTGAATTAACATTATTATTGTAGAATATCTCCTACTTGATGTGTATATGCAATTTTACCAATTAGTATTATTATTATTGGTAGTGCAAATTTCACTGAATAAAGTTACATTGAATGGTTTAATAGACCATGTATAAAGTGGATCTTCTTGAAATGTTTAACCATATTACTATATGAACGTGTACTCCTAATTGGAAAAATAAGCAAATGTTATGTGGATACAAATCCATAAATTTACCTACGAGTTAAAGCTTTTTCCAAGATTTTATATAATTAGATAATCTTTTCTTTGCATGTAATCCTAAACAGTTGTAACTCAATTCGAAAACATACACATAGACCTTACATAACATCTTCTCACACTTGCAATTAGCAGTACGTGTTAGCATGATTTGGTAAAATATTTAAGGAGCATCGACGATTCTCTATGCTTCTTAAGAGTGTAAGATCTCTTCTATCCAAAAAATCGTTGTTTCTTTCTTCATCTTCTTCATTTAACGAGAAAACAAGATTTATTATTATTATTATTATGATAATATTGACATTAGATTGGATTGTTTTTTACCTCACGTGTCTCTCTGTGTGTGTATGGCGGTCGAATGTATTTGTTAATGGTCGTCTCAGAACTACAGGCATGAAAGTTCAGTCAGAGAAGTTTAACGATTGAGAA